CCCCCCGTCCCTGGGCTGGCTCCCACCAAGTCCATGTCCCATCACTGAGCTTGGGGATCCGGGTGAGACTGCGGCCCCCTCCCTGCCTCCTCCTCATTCCCTTGCCCAGCGTGGCTGGGGTTGGCCGAGCAGTTTGAGAAGGTTCCCAGGCCCACCCTGGGTATGTGCTGATAGGGGTAGGGGCAGAGGTGAGCTGGTAAACGTGTAACAACCAGCAGAAAAGAAGCCCTGATTTGTAGCGTTGGCTGATTCCCATGGCGTAAATACTCGAACCATGGCTGATTTCAATATGATGTCAACTGGCTCACAAAATTTCTGAAAACTTAACAGTAGACTCCCATGAACTGGTACAAGCCAGCTGCACAGGTGGGGGCCGAGGCAAGGCCCCAGAGTGCAGGACTGCCTGACACCAAGTGAGACCACGTACGGTAACAAGCGTTGATGTCACATCAAACACACTCCAATTCTAAACCCGGCTCCACCAATTCTTAGCCGGGGTCCTTGGGCAAGTCTTGCTACCTCTCTGAGCCTCAGTTTCCCCATCTATAGAATTAAGTCATCAATAGCTCCTGCTCCTAAGGGGACTGTGTGGATTTAATAAGATAATTTACATAAGGCAGTTAGCAAAGGTCTGGCTTGATAATGAGCACTTGATAAATGATGCCTCCATTACCAGATTGCCTCAGCTTCCCCATCTATGCACACTGCTGCTGTTTATGGATTTACAGCGTGTGACAGCCCCTGGCACCGGACTTGCCACACAGCAAGTGCTCACCAAACACTCACCACCTTCCCCTTTTGGGGCCGGGAGGTGCTCACCTGGCTCACCTCCAGGGGCTGGCATCTTGGTCAGCCAGTTGCACAGAGACAACCAGCTCTGCCTGAGTGTGTCTTGCGTATGTGGGCTCAGTACGTTGTCTCCTTGGCCCTTCTTTTTTTTTTTTTTTTTTATAGATGACCGGTAAGGGGATCTTAACCCTTGGCTTGGTGTTGTCAGCACCACACTCTGCCAGTGAGCAAACCGGCCTTCCCTATGTAGGGATCCAAACCCATGGCCTTGGTGTTATCAGCACTGCATTCTCCCGAGTGAGCCATGGGCTGGCCCTCCTTGGCCCTTCTTTTTTTTTTTTTTTCCTTTTTGTCTTTTTTCGTGACCGGCAACGGATTGCAACCCTCAGTGTTGCGCCCGCACCTCGCTCAGCCAGTGAGCGGCCGGTCTGTATGTGGGATCCGAACCCTCGGCGGGAGCGCTGCCGT